AAAATATTGACACTAATTTTATCAATAGATTCAAAATGAAAACCTTTAATTTTCAATAAATATTCAAAAAAATTAGTACAACGTATACAAAGTTACGTGTGGATGACAGTCCAACATTGAAGAGAAGAGGAAGCCAGGAAGGTTGTTGGCTGCAGAAGATGAATTCGACAGAAATTTTTTTTTTGGGAGGGTGGGGGGGTAAACATCAGCCAACACCATCATGACACTATATTGTTTTGCTTGGAACATGTACCTTTCAATTGACTCTCAGTGTTATCGGTGATGGTTAAACAAACTTTGTAATTATTTGTATGTATAATTTTGATATTTTCTCCCTCTTCGCTTCTGACTGATCAGTGTGGAAGAACTGCAAGCAAAGAAATATTTATATAAGCGAAGTTTCCTTATGTAGCATGTCCTTGGCTGGATTCATCATGATACTTACAGATGCTACTTTCATCTGTTTGCTTCTTTTTCAGGACCAGAATGTTTGTAATTCAATTGTGAAGGACATGGAAATCACTTCAAATAATAAATTTCAACATCTGACTGCTCCTGTTGTGGTGCACGTATCGCGGCCAAAGGATATTGAACTGAAGAGGAGAGATCTTCCAATAATTATGATGGAGCAGGAGATAATGGAAGCTGTAAATGAGCATTCAATTGTAATTTTATGTGGAGAAACAGGATGTGGTAAAACTACTCAAGTACCTCAGGTATGCTTCTGTTGCTTACCTTTTTCATGTAGTTAAAATTCCAAACAGTGGCATTATACTTCTTAAAAATTATTTTCCCTAATCTCTGCTTTCTGTTTCAATGTACTGTAGTTCTTATATGAAGCTGGTTTTGGGTCAAAAAATTGTAATGACCGGAAAGGAATCATTGGTGTTACACAACCGCGACGTGTAGCTGTTCTTGCCACTGCCAAGAGAGTATCCTTTGAGTTGGGTTATTGTCTTGGAAAGGAGGTTGGTTTTCAAGTTAGGCATGATAAAAGGATAGGAGATCGTTGCTCTATCAAGTTCATGACTGATGGAATTTTACTTCGAGAAGTTCAGGTTAGTTTACAGAATTTTGATGTTTCTCTTCCCTGATATGAGTAGTCTCTCCTCATTTTGTTTCTAAATAACCCTTTAATTGATTGATTCAAACTTTGAGATACAGGGCTCCTTTTCAACTTAACCTGACTGATCTGGTTTTTTGATATGAAATTGGCCTTTAAAATAGCGCCATTTAGTGTCACAACAAGATTCTATTCACGTGATCACTTGTAATTCATTTTTCATTTCCCTTTGGTGCAGAGTGACTTCTTACTGAGGCGTTACTCTGTAATTGTCCTGGATGAGGCTCATGAGAGAAGTTTGAACACAGATATACTTGTCGGAATGCTATCTCGAGTTATAAAACTTCGCGAGGTTACAATAGATGTATCTCTACTTAAGCTGCCTAATCTTTTTAAGCATAACAGAAGAGTATTCTCTTAGCTAACAATCAACTTGCATGTTGCAGAAGTTATATTTGGAGCAGCGGGAGAAAATACTTTCAGGCGTAGAAATTGACCGTGACAAGATGATCACTAAATTAAAGATCATACTTATGAGTGCTACACTTAGAGTTGAAGACTTCATTTCTGGCAAAAAATTATTTCATGAGACCCCACCTATTCTGGAAGTTCCAGTAAGACAATTTCCGGTGACTATTCATTTCTCAAAGAAGACACATGAGGATTATTTAGGTCAAGCTTATAAGAAGGTTATGTTGATCCACAAGAAGCTACCACCTGGAGGCATACTGGTATTTGTCACTGGGCAACGGGAAGTGGAGTTCCTGTGTAAGAAGCTAAGGAAAGCATCAAAGCAATTAATTACAAACAATTCTAAAAGAAACTCAGATAATGATGGGACTGCAAACCTGGACATGGAAATGAAGGATATCCATGAAGCATTTGAGATAAGCACTACAGACCAGCAGACTGACAGGTTTAGTTCTTTTGAAGAGGATGATAACTTCCCGGAGATGGATTCTGATTCATCTAACTCAGAAACAGACAGTGATATTGGGGATGATACTGATACTGAAACAACCTCAGAGAAGACCGATTTAGTTCTGGATCTTTTAGGAGATTCTAGAGGTCTTTTGTCATTGAAGGCTTCTTTTGAAGCCTTAGCTGGAAAATCATGCAACCAAAATTCTAAAGAAGAACCAACTGCACCAATGCATTCCAAAGAAGAGGAGACTCAGTTTGTCCCTTCCACTATGGGTGAACAAGCGGAACCTACTCCTGTTGGTCCTTTGTATGTGTTACCCCTTTATGCAATGCTACCTGCTTCTTCTCAGCTTCGGGTATTTGAAGAGGT